GGGACATATACTACACTTTGATCCCAGCCCGATGTCGAGGGAATGAAGAAAACTGCTGCTTGAATAGGACCGGCTGCTCGGTCAGTGAATGTTGAATGAATACCGAAAGATATCAATATGAAACAAGCGGCTAATAATAGGATTATCATTAGAGATGAGGCGAACATATACTACACTTTGATCCCAGCCAGACGTCGAGAGAATCAGGAAAAGTACAGCTTGAATAGGACCGGTTGCTCAGTTAATGAATGCCGAATGTTTCCTAATAAAGTAACGGCTAATATTACGATTATAATTAGTGATGGGGAGAACACATACTACACTTTGATCCTAGCCTGATGTGGCGGTAATGAAGAAAAGTGCAATTAAAAGTCTTCAGTCAATGAATGCCGAATGTTTCCTTATAAGTAACAGCTAATATTGCATATTACCATAACTATTAAGTTTACTTGCAGTCCTTATTTTCCACAGGCGATTTTCTTTCTTTCTTTCTTTCTTTCTTTCTTTCTTTCTTTCTTTCTTTCTTTCTTTCTTTCCCCTTCTGGTATTTTACTTGAAATAAAAGCTTGGAAATTTTTACAAAATTATCAAAACATCTCTGATTTTATTTTTAACACTTCCATGCTCCAAGGTGTTCCAGTCCTGTGTCCTCTCGTTTCCCGCATTTCTCTCACATCTCTCTCTCTCTCTCTCTTTCTCTCTCTCTTTCTCTCTCTCTCTCTCTCTCTTTCTCACTCATTTCTCCCTTTCTGTGTATAGCTTTGATTCTCTTCAGCCCCTCTCTCTCTATCATTTCTCTCTAACTCTTTGATTCTGTTTCACTCCCACTCTCTCTCTCTCTCTCTCTCTCTCTCTCATTCATCTCTTTCCATTTCATTTCACCGCCCCTCTCTCTCTCTCTCATTTCTCTCTTTCTCTTTGATTCCTTTACCCCCCACTCTCTCATTTCTCTGTTTCTCTTCTATTCTTTTTCGCTCCCTCTCTCTCTCTCTCTCATTTCTCTCTTTCTCTTTTTCTCTTTGATTAGTTTCACCTTCCACTCTCTCTCTTCACTCTTTCTCATTGATTCCATTTCACTGTCCCCTCTCTCTCTCTCTCGTTTCTCTCTTTCTCTTTGATTCCTTTTCACCCCCACTCTCTCTATCACTCATTTCTCTCTTTCTCTTTGATTCTATTTCGCTCCCACTCTCTCTCTCTCTCTCTCTCTCATTTCTCTCTTTTTTTCTCTTTGATTCCGTATCACCTTCCCCACTCTCTCTCTCATTTCTCTCTTTCTCTTTGATTCCGTTTCACCGTCCCCACTCTCTCTCTCATTTCTCTCTTTCTCTTTGATTCCTTTTCACCCCCCACTCTCTCTCTCTTATTTCTCTATTTCTCTGTTTCTCTTTGATTCCTTTTCACCCCCTCTCTCTCTCTCTCTCTCTCTCTCTCGTCTCATTCACTTTGCCCAATCAGCTAAAAGGCTCCACGAGGTTCCTAATTTTACACTGAATAAACGTGACTATAACGCGACTTGAACGTGACTTAAATGTCGTTTGGTGCCTCCAACACTTGTAGAGACTATGGTTACAGTGTCAGTGCTTAATATAAAAATCACCGTGTTTAAAACTTTTGTTTGAAAAGCCTGCAGGAAATAAAGCTTTATTTTTACATCGTTAAACAGCATCTTATCACTGCAACTACGATAAGTAAGGTCATGTAGCCCGTTAATGGGTAGAACATAATACGATATTTTGCCAATTATGGTTGAAAAGGTATTAACTTCATACAAATAAATATTACTTTAGTCAATAATAATGTCGGATTCTTCCGATAAAAAAAAGAAACTCCCCAAAATACTAAATAAACTCTTGCATTTACCCCCCTTCAGAATCAGAAAAAAAAAGTAATAGAGTAAGAAGTGCTGGCTTACAAATGAATCATTTTCGCATATGTTATAGTCATTACTCTTTTATGCGACATGTCCGTTCAGGGAATGAGGGATCACGGCTCTCCACAACTGCCTATCCTTAACAGTGTTTTGCTTCCTTTGTTAATTCTACCGTCCCTCGTTTCAACATTAATCTGCACAAGCTCTTCAATTGTGTAGCTCAAAAGCTTCCCCTATCGCTGTGGCCATTATATGACCTGTGAGGGTTAAGTTTTCCAAGACATTTTTTGTTTATGTGTGCAAGGAACTTCATCTGTCTATTCCTGATTCTGAGTATCCGTATTTTTTTGGCATCTTCTTTCAAACTTCTTCGTTGCTTATCCGTCCATGGAATTCTCAGCATCCTTCTGTAGAGCCATATCAAGTTATTTCCAGTTTTCTCAATATCCTCAGTGAATCTTAAAAATGTGTTTTTAGATTTTTTCGATCAAATGTGCGACAAAATTTATGATTGCTCTCTCTCTCTCACTCTGTCTGTCTGTCTCTCTCACCCTCTCTCTCTCTCTCTCTCTCTCTCTCTCTCTCTCTATATATATATATATATATATATATATATATATATATATATATAAGAACAGAACAGATGGAGTAAAACTGCACAGTTCGTAACATTTACTTTTAAAAATGTTTTCAATACAAAATAGAGCAAAATATATTTTATTATAAAAAGTATAATAAAAAACATTTTACAACGCTACACAAAAGCTTTCATGTTTCAGTACTATGGATGTATTTTGTCCGGGCATGTTATATAACGTGACTATAGTTATATATATATATATATATATATATATATATATATATATATATATATATAGAGAGAGAGAGAGAGAGAGAGAGAGAGAGAGAGAGACCCGGAGTAATGGATAGCGGCTTGGATTGAGGAATCGGAATGCCGAGTTCGAATTCTATTCGAATTCATGACATTCACTTACGTGCTAATAACCTTGGGAAAGGTATAAATACTCTTCTCCCTCAACATATGGGTAAATAGCAGGACAGACTGGGTTCTATAGCCTTGGATGGTAACTGATCTAGAACAACAACAACTGTGGAGGGTCGTTTGGGGACCTTGTGGCATTTAGTGCACCAGATCTCTGTATTCGGCCCTGCAAGAAGTGTGGATGGTCCCGCACGAAGCCTTCACCCCTATAATCAAATCTCATCTGCTGTTGTCGGGCTGTCGGTTTCCTAGGAACTGATCTGCTTGACCCTCATACGTGGAATTCGACGGGAGAGGCGAGTATATACATACATATATATATATATGTGGTGGCCTGACAATTGCATCTATCATCAAACACACTGTCGCCTGTAAGTGTTGACTTCTATGTTCACTTTTATATTTAAACGCGCACTATCTCTGATATTGAGCACTTTATCCAATAAATATAGTACATCATAAGACTATATATGTATATATATATATATATATATATATATATATATATATATATATTCAAATACATCAAAAACCTGTCAAAAACGCATCACAAATCTATTCGTTCTCATTATACACACACACACACACACACATATATATATATATATATATATATATATATATTCAAATACATCAAAAAACCTGTCAAAAACGCATCACAAATCTATTCGTTCTCATTATACACACACACAAACACACACACACAAACACACACACACATATATATATATATATATATATATATATATATATATATATATATATATATTATTCGATAGAAACATTGCAATGGATAAATACTGTAGTAATGTTAGCCGTTTTATTTTCTTTTTTTGTAGCTGTCACCGTTAAATTTCTTTTTCCAACATGAACTCAGTCTATACCGGGGTTGAATAAGACTGACGAAGTTTCCATCGGTTGAAATAGACCTGTTGCCGATATGAGGGGATTTTGGATTTTAGGCTGTATTAATCTTTGCTCTGTAATAACAAATGCATTATGCTCTTTCTGTGGATCAGTTTTCATATTATTAGGATGCACTTGGATTATATACCAACGGGTTTATTAATTTACGATACATACATATATATATATATATATATATATATATATATATATATATATATATATATATATATATATATATAAATAAAAAGAAGAACAGTAAGATATAAAATCCGGTGTTCTTATAGATATTTTATTTTTTACAAAATAGTGCTCAATGTAAATTTAGAGCATTAATATTATAAATTAATTGATTTAAAATATGGTTTTTTCGCTACACAGTTCCAACCATGTTTCAAAATAGAAGCTAAAACCCTAATTTTTATTTTTTGCAAATAAATTAAAGCATTATTCTATTTCATCTTCAAGCGAATTTTACTTGAAGATGAATTCGCTTGAAGATGAAATAGAACTAATGCTTTTAATTTATTTGCAAAAATAAAATTAGGGTTTTTAGCTTATTTTGAAACATGGTTGGAACTGTGTAGCGAAAATAACCATATTTTAAATCAATTAATTTATAATATATATATATATATATATATATATACTTTCCATGTAATATTCATGAGTACTATTCATATTTCTCTTAACGTGACGTGTGCAGAAAATGATGAAGCGAAATAAATAATGATATAAAAACCTATGTAACGTGGCCAATCCGTTTTAATGTGCCACAAACCTATATTCATTGATTGTCTTCTGAAATGAATACGAAACGGGTGTTAGTCTCTGTATTGTATGGATGACAAATCCATAACCCAGCAACGATATTGGATTCAACTGTCTGCTAATACTTTTGGAATAATTGACAAAGAAACCAATTCTGTTAGCAAATGGGGAAAATAATAGACTAAACCTTCAGGAAATTTTTCTTTTTCCTTTCCTTTTGCAAGACATTTTCAGTGTTTACTGCTCGCATGATTTTACGCTTGATATTCAAAAATATTAGGCTTTGACTCGAGAATAACCAAATCTGGGGATGGAAAAGTAAAACAGCATATATTAATACTATGCGTTCCTTTCTTCACACATTGATTAAGCTCTGCCATTGCATCAGATAAATAAAGGACCACTGCAATTTTGATTTCGAGGAAAGTCAGAAGAAAAAAAAAAGATTTGTCAGAGGTACAGTTTGGTTTTAAGAAGAAACAAAAGAACGCATAGATAATAATTAAAAAGAAAGAAAGAAAGAAAGAAAGAAAGAAAGAAAGAAAGGGTAAATAACTGAAGTAATAACGCTATTTGGCGCTTAATGTTGGCTTCAGAGAAAAGGAAGAAAGAATATAAAATAGAAACTAAAAAGAAAGAAAGAAAGAAAGAAAGAAAGAAAGAAAGAAAGAAAGAAAGATTAAATACATGAAGCGATAAGGCTATTTGGCACTTAACGTCGGCTTCGGTGAAAAAAAAGAAAGAAGAAAAAGTAGAAACTGAAAAGAAAGAAAGAAAGAAAGAAAGAAAGAAAGAAAAAAACGGAAAGGAAAGGAAGAAAAAAGAAAGAAAGAAAGATTAAATACATGAAGCGATAAGGCTATTTGGCACTTAACGTAGAAATTGAAAAGAAGAAAGAAACTGAAAGAAAGAAAGAAAGAAAGAAAGAAAGTGAGATAGAAGAAAGCAAGAAAGAAAGGATAAGTACATGAAGCGATAACGCTATTTGGCACTTAATGTCAGCTTCAGGGAAAAAGGAAGAAAGAAGAAAAATATAGAAACTGTAAAGAAAGAAAGAAAGAAAGAAAGAAAGAATGAAAGAAAGAAAGAAAAGTTAAACAGAGGAAACGAAAACGCTATTTGGCACTTACCGTCTGCTTCGGTGAAATTGAAGTAAGATCGATTAAAATAGAAAGAAACAGAAAGAAAGAAAGAAACGGAAAGAAAGAAAGAAAAAAAAAGAAAGAAAGAAAGAAAGAAAGAGGAAGTAATAATAGGCACGTATCGTATGCTTCAGTTAAATGGAAGAAATATTGCGTTTAAATAAAATTAAACTGAAAATAGAGAAAAGAAAGAAAGAAACGGAAGAAGGATAATGCTAACAGGCATTTAATGTCTGCTTCAATAAAATGAAGGTAAGAAGCAAACTGAGGAAATAGAAAAGAACAGAAAATAAAGCAAAGAACGGGAGGTAGAAGCAATAAAGAGAAAAACCATAACTATAAAATGCTCATATATTATTTTTATCTATTGTAATTCTTCTTGTTATGTACCTTCAATATTGTACATGGTTATCGATCTTTTGTAATAATGTGCTTGTACTTCGAATAAAATGTTATAATAAACGGTTACAAATATATGTAAATATACGGGCAATACCTTGTCAATTTTTAATCTTTTCTATTGAACCCACTTACTCCTTTAAATATTGGCATGCGTTTCTAATTATGATTATTATTGCAATATTTTCTTGATGTTTACAAGCGCTAATATCTAACGATTCAATGGCGGAATTTCTACGAGTGTTTTATAGACATGGATATAGCAAGAAACATATTTAATCATTAAATTAAGAATTACGAACGCGTTCGTAGGACTCATCTCGGAGTTCAGAATAAATGATAAACGTAAACATTTAATGGGTAGTGTTCAGTTCAAGCATAAGTTATGACTGGTGGACGCCATCTTAAGAATATATGACAAGCATATAACACTGTGTTGATGGCAGACCTAGAAAGAAACGTTCCGTACTTCGAGACAAAGTAATAAAGGAAAGCGAAAACAAAAAGACTAGACATCAATTGTAAGAAAACAGAATGATTGTCAACAGGATAATAATAATAATAAATAATAATATATATATATATATATTTTTTTTTTTTTTTTTTTTAACATACAACGTGTGTTAGCACGTGCGATACCCTGTCTTCATCAGCCGCCGACCAGGGGGATTCTCACGGTTTCGGTGGCTATGGCGGGACCGCCACCCCTAGCGCCACCAGCAGCGTTTGCCACCAGGCAGGGTATGAAGATAAGCTAACTAATTGTTCCTTTAAGTAAAATCTATCTGCAATGAAAGTTTCTTGAACGCGTTTGCTGTTATTGACGCGCTCGTAAAAGTCGTTATAAACGACCACGCAAATATCTCACTTGCGCATATTAGGTCGTGATGTTGCGCGCATTCTATTTGCTTGTTTTGATCTCGACCAAATCAACTTGACGCGTGTTGAACAGTTTTTTGAAGGCGATGCGAAAAACGCTTTTCAACCAACGGCCAGTGATGCCTATTTTGAAAGGAAGGAAATGACCGAATGTCCCAGGAACCCACGACACCCAATCTCAATAGGCATCACGTGACACGTCCAACCATTTTCCATACACGCAGTGACTCGTACCAGTTTTTTTATTATATATATATATATATATATATATATATATATATATATATATATATATATATATATATATATATATATATATATATATATATATATATATATATATATATATTTTGAGATGAGGTATTATGTACATTACTATCCTCAAGAACACATGGTACAGTGGATAAAGGTGTTCGTTAGATCCAGTGACAGGACCCAAAGAGTGTAAGTTCAATACCCGGTTAAGGCAGTGGAGAACTTTCAGAGGGAAATCAGCAGGAGATAACTTATAACTGACATCCATTAACCATGGCACGTGGAACTAGAACAGTCTACCCCAGTGAGCGAAATAAAGGGTTGAGTTCGACATTCCAATCACCTGAAGAAGGCCGGAGTGTACAACGGCCGAAACGTTGTAATAAATATGGCGACAAAGATGAGGACGATAGTCGGAATAATGTAAATAATGTAATAATAAGATGCTAGGAAAAATCAAATAAGTACAGATTTAATTTCTACGAGGCTCTTTCAAAAATGTCTAAGCCCCAACCGGAAAGAAGAGACATAATTGAACATTTTTATCGTGGAAAAACACTATCATCTTACTTATTATAAAACGCAGACTGTGTGTGTGTCTGTACGTTTATATATTGGATCGGTTTTCCTACAATTTTCAACAGATTTCAACAAAACTTCACAGGACTACGTAAAATTACCTTGCGGATGTTTTAACAGCGCCAAAAATTGGAAAAAACAGAATTGTTTTTGCACGAAATCAATTTGAAAACACGATTAAGAGTCATCACGAGAATGAAAGAGGGACAACTCATATCGAGTTATACTTATTATTAAACCCAGGTTGGTTGTGTGTTCGTTTATATATGGGATTGGATTTCCTACATTTTTCAACCGATTTCAACAAAACTTCACTTTTTTTTTTGCAGGTAGTGTTTCTTATTGTCTTGCACTCTTTTTTCTTTATTTTTACATTCAGAATGCTTTAAAAATTCCATTTACAAGACAATTGTTTATAATAAAATTCTATTCAATCGGTAGATTCATAACGATTGAAAACAATGTTTTTGTTTGAGTTTGCGTTTGACCAATTCGTAAAAAAAAAAAAAAAAAAACTAATTAAGAAATGCGCGTCCGTCAACCTTAAACAAAAATCTTTGTTAATTTTATTTTTCAGTCTTTATCATGGTCGATACTTGATCTATCTCATACTGTTACATTATGTTGCTAGTTTCTTATAAAACTAGAAAAACCTAATTCAGATTTCTCTCTTGATTTCTGCGCAAGGCCCATACAAAGGTGAGAGGTGTGCGAAAACTCTAAAAATGGACAAAACAGAGGTTCGTAATGTACCAGCAAAAGAAAGATATGATGCTCAAGGAAATTCATGAGGATATGGTATAAACACTTGCTGAGAATCTCCTCTTCCTATGCAACTGTAAACAAAAAAATGTTTGCGGAATTTAAGTGGGGTAGGAACAGCAGAGATGATGACCCTCGGCTAGGTCGTCCAAAAAACTCAACCACTGATAAACAATTGATGACATTCACCGTATAGTTTCAATGACAGATATTTTACTGTCTAGAAGACATTTAAATCCATAGGCATTTGTTCTGGTTCGTTTCATGTTGTTTTAACAGAGATTTGGGGGATGAGCAAGCTGTCTGCAAGATAGGTCCCAAGAATGCTGACCCTAGAGCAGAAACTGAAAAGGGTTGACATTTCCATAATATTGTTGTGACTCACTTCAAGTCTCATATTGAGAATTTCCACCGCCGACTAGCAACTATAGATAAAACCTGCTTTCGGTTTGGTTTGGTTTGGTTTGGTTTGATTTACGGCATATCAACCTGAATGAGTTATTTAATGCCGACAAGACTTTTATTACAGGTAATATTTTTTACTTCAAAAATATAATGCTGGTAATATTTTTTACTTCAAAAATATAATGCTGGTAATATTTTTTACTTCAAAAATATAATGCTGGTAATATTTTTTACTTCAAAAATGTATTGCTGGTAATAATTTTTTTCTTCAAAAATTCATTCCTGGTAATAATTTATACAAAAATGTATTGCTGTACTAAAACCTATTTTTAAACTTTCACAGTATTTTCACTCCGGTTTGGGGGTTAACGATTGGCCCATAGCTGAGAGCCTAACAAGTAAGTGTAAGGGTGCAACTGTGAACGCCAGCAATTAAGAGGTGGTTCCACGCTCCTCAAAACCTCCTGATCAGAAGCCTTGCTGGATGTAGTTTATCGTCTTACCCAGGACAAGAATCTGGGTTCACCACTTCGAACCTGAATCAAAGATTCAAATCCAACAATGGAAACACACTGGTTCTCCACTCCCAAAGAAATCAGGAAGCGTTTGTTGGCAAGGTGATGAAGCCACTAGGATGCAGGGGGTTGCAGAAGATTTGGAGCAAGAGCAGATAGGAGTGATAGAAGAAAGGATGAGGAGAAGGGTAGTGGATAGATCAAGGTAACTGGAGATGTCGATTGACATTACATTTGAATAGTTGGAGATTATAGCTCTCAGGGAAACAGTGGGAAGGGTGTTCCACAGGCGAGAGAGATGCGAGGTATGAAGCTATTGGAGTAGAAGAGACGGCTACATTTAAAAGTTTCTACAGTGGAAGGGTGGGAGCGGGATGCCAGCCTCGTAGGGCGCTTGAATTCATGAAGTCTGGGAACCAGTGAAAGCAGCTCATCGGAGCAATTACCATGGAAGTATTTGTAGAAAAGACAGAGAGAGGCGACGGCGCGTCTGTGAGAGAGTTATTGTAGACGAGACGCCAGATCAGGGCCAATTATATTACATATCCGTCTCTGGATCTTGTCAAGAACTCCGAGGTAAACGGAAGGTGCCCCAGACCATATATGGCAGCAATACTCCATGCAAGGGCGAATGGTTGATTTGTATATTTGAAGTATCGATTCCGCAGAGAACAATTTCCTGGTGGGACACAGGCTGCCAGCTTTCCTAGGGGTGGACGAAGCAATTGACTCAATGTATTTGTTCCATCTCAGATCAGAAGTCAACGTGAGGCCGAGCAGACGCAGAGAGTTGCTCTCAAGAAGTTGACTATCAGACATTCTAATGGGGGGCAGGGAAGGATCTCTATGGTTATTAATAGAGAGTAGTTTAGTTTTTGAGGCGTTAAATTTGACCAGCCAATTCTTGCCCCAATTAACAACCGATTGGAGGTCCATTTCAAGACGAGTGGCCAGGTTAGTTTTGTCAGCGACACTAGATTTGTTTTTGAGGCAGGAGTAAATTGTAGTGTCGTCCGCGTAGATGCCAACTTGGGAATCTATGGCGTCAGGAAGGTCATTGATGAAAATAAGGAATAGAGTGGGGCCAAGCCTGGAGCCTTGGGGAACACCTGCGTTCGTGGGATAGGAACTGGAGGAGAATCCGTTGAGAATGACCTTCAATTCACGGTTTGACAGGAATGATTGTATTAAGTCAAACAATCGACCTGTAATGCCATAACCCTGGAGCTTGCTCCAGGATAACACACCTGTTCACACGACTCAGTTTGCAGTAGCTGAACCAGCCAACAGTGGCTTTGAATTGCTACTCCACCCCCATTACTCACCGGACTTAT